ATTTTGGCTTTGCATCCATATCAGTACACACACATGACATTCCTTGTTGTTTATTTGTGGCTATACAAATATGTTAAAGGACATTACTCTGTTTTATTTCCTAGCCATGATGTAATTAAGTTATGCTTATACCTTTCTGTACTTATGCAAATATATTAACATATTTCTGGAGGGGAATTCAAGGGTCAAATACTTGTGGATTTCTCAAACTTTTAAAAATTTGATAAAACTATCCTTCAAAATTTTTAACTAATTTACAGTCCCACATGCAATGTATAAAGGTGCCATTTTCTCAGGCCTTTACAGACTAAACTGAAACGTATTTGCAATATGATGTATAAAAAATAATGATTCATGGTTGTGTTAATATTTATTTAATTAGTTATACATGAGGCTGAAAAAACACTACATGTTTCAGGACCATATTTATACTATTTCAGTAAATTGTGCATTATCTTTTGCCCTATGTCTTGTTCATGTAAATACAGTACAACCATTTTTATTTCTTGGGAAAACTCCTTGATTAGTAAAAATACTTGCTATCTGTTCCACATATGTGCTGTAAATATTTTTCATTGTTCTCAAAACTGTGAACAAGTTTTATCTAGGACTGATTGAGCCCTTGTGATTTGTTCACTGACCATAGTCTTCGATTCTTTTTCATTCTTATTTTTATAGGATATAATATTTAATCTACATAATTTATAAATATGTTCTGTTTCTGAAATGAGCTTTAGAGTCAGTTGTGAGTTTCAAACATCATTTTTAAGAAAATTTGTGAGTTTAAGGTATCACTTCAGTGATTGCTTAATGTTTGTTTTAGCCGTACTCCTGCCTTAAAGAGTATCTCTCATCCTTGATTTCACCATCTGAGCCCACGATATTTGGGAGATTCTTGGGGGGTGAATTTTACTTTGGCCTAATGGTAATTAGTGTGATTTCTTTTTTCTGTTTGAACATAATTTAAAGAACATCAATCGGACAAATTCCATGTATTTATATTTATGTCCACTAATTTTGCCAGCCCAAACTGGAAATACAGGTTAGAAATTAGTGTCAAAACCAAAAATATCACATCCCTTTAGATTACCACTTTGAAAATTATACTAAAATATAAAGAAATTTTAAATTATTTTCTCCCAATAACTGGCTGATCTCAATGTTCCACTTCAAGGGTAAAGAGGTGTTCAAAAGCTCTTTGTATTTGTACTACTTTGCCTGACAACTCTTTTGTCCTGGCAAACACCAGGAATGTTTTATCATCAGAATAAATGGTCAGATCTTGAGGCTATGAACACTCATGGCCCCAGAGGGAAAATAAATCACCAAAAGAATTTTGACTTCCAATTTTCTGATGCTCTTCCAACATTTCCCCTGAGAATAGACTTTCTATTCTCATCTGCAGTACCAACTAATTACCCAAAGGAGTGTGTGGTCCCCATGATGTCAACAAGAAAACATGTCATGCCAACTTCCAGGTGCCACTTTGATACTTAGAAACTCCGTACTCTTTTTTCCATCTGAGTCTATAACATCTCCCGCATGTACCCCGGCGGCTTTCTGAGGTCCGCAGGAAGTCCTTGCCCTAGGGCTTTGGTTGACAGCTCCAGAAATCCTGTGAAAATGTAGTTATTTGGCTGCAATGGCAGATTGACAGAAAGGTGCTAAAGCTGTTTTCTGTTACAACTGCCCCTCTTCTCTGTAATTTAACTATTCCAGAGCAACCACTCCATTCTATCTTCTGTGGGAAGCGGTGCTATACCAACATTTTTACCAGTTGAAACAAATTATAAACAAAAGGGAAACAAAATGCTTTTATCTTCAGAAAGAAACTAGGTACTAATGCATAGAAGAAGGTTTGGGACTTCAGAGCCTATTTCTTGACCTATTTCTTGAGAAAGAAACTAGGTACTAATGCATAGAAGAAGGTTTGGGGCTTCAGAGCCTATTTCTTCAGAGCCTGTTTCGTAACCACTTCCATATGATTTCTGGTGCATCTGTCTCATAACCTTCTCTTTTTTTTTTTTAACCAGGAATCAAACTGAGGATCTTGCACCCGCCAGGCAGGCCCCAGGCCACTGAGCTATCTTTGGCCCATAACCTTCTTACTTTCTACCTAATTAACTGTGTGATCTTCCACAAAACCCCAGATAACAAACTGAACCACAGGGGAAAAAAACGTTACTATGTGTTCTTCCTGTACTTCTCAGGAAAGTTGAAACCAGGTAAGCCTAAAGGACTAGAGAAAATGAGGACTTTGTTATTTTACTTTGATATATTATATTTGCCTGTGGAAGATGAACTTACTCTAAGAACTTTGGTGTGGGGGCTAGGGATTTAGCTCAGCAGCACAGCACCTGCCTGGTAAGCACAAGGTTGTGAGTTTGATTCCCGGTACCAGAAGAAAACAACCAAAAAAAAAAAAAAAGAACTTTGGTGTGGAGTTTTTACCAAAGATAAGCTTTTTATTTGAAAATGAAAATCTCTAACATTAAGTCATAGTATGCCCTTATTTTTCCCAGTTTACTATTGAATATACTGTTATCAGAAGCATCCCTCAATTCTCTCGATCACACAGTAGTCTAGGTATTTTGTAACATACATTTAACAACTCCAGTGTTGGCCTTTTTGCTCATATTACCAAAGAATCACAATGACTAGAGGTAAGAGATGTTTCCTTCTGCAGCTGCTGCTCCCCTGGTCTCCATTCCCTCAATCCCATCCTAGTAGCCTTGAATCCAATGCTAAGTGTGTTCTGTGTGAATCCAGGCCCCTTTATTCTTCTTAGCCACATTAGGGTCAGTCTTTTATTAATTCATTTTTAAAAATTACCCTTTGTGTAGCACATTCTCCTTCCCTTTCTCTCTGTTCATTGCTGCTGCCATGTGCTCCCCTACTGGTTGTCCTGATGTTGCGAAAAGGCTAGCAGAAGACAAAACACATCCAAAGTTGCTGCTTTATTTCTAGATGGAGTATTCTCTCTAACTTTGGCAATCTAAGTTGCAGAATTCTGTTACTTAGAAAGAAATAGATGGTGGAGATCTGAGTTGACAGCATTTGACCAAAATAAAGAACGAGCTGTTTAGTGCATAGCATTATACACCCTAAGTAAAAATGTGGCACTGACCAAACGGAGTAAGTGCACACTTCCACCACATTGTCAGGTTATAATAGGTTATAATGAGATGTCAAGCTAGGCAGTAGCTTCCCTGGTACTGAGGTCAGCCCTGGTTGTCCCACTGGGAGGTCATCATCACCTTTCAGGGCATGTGGAGGACGATAGTACACCTGATAACCTTGTCAAGTGAAGAAGAGTTGAAGGGAAGTGAATGTCTTACCGTAAAGAAGACTGGGTTAGATGAAGTAACTGCCTATTAACGTTATCAAACAGGGATTCTATGTGATGTACATTTTAGAAAATACAGATGAAATATTCTGTATTTTGTTCCCACCCGCCAGCTGCACAGATGTGAAGAGAAGGCAATGGGACAATCCAACGACAGCGCGGAGCATGGCTTCATCTTGGTGGGTTTCTCTGATCGTCCCAGACTAGAGATGGTGCTCTTCATTGTGAATTTCACTCTGTATTCAGTAGCTGTGCTGGGAAATTCAACCATAATCCTCGTGTGTGTATTAGACCCTCGACTTCACACCCCCATGTACTTCTTTCTGGCAAATCTTTCCTTTCTGGATCTCTGCTTCAGTACCAGTTGCATCCCACAGATGCTGGTAAACCTCTGGGGCCCAGACAAGAGCATCAGCTATGCCGGATGCGTGGTCCAGCTCTTCTCCTTCCTCTCGGTGGGGGGCATCGAGTGCATCCTGCTGGCCGTCATGGCCTATGACCGCTATGCGGCCGTCTGCAGACCCCTGCACTACATGGTCATCATGCACCCCCGGCTGTGTTTACAGCTGGTTGCTGTGGCTTGGGGCAGTGGACTGGTCAATGCCATTGTCATGTCACCACTGACAATGACTCTGTCTAGATGTGGCCAGCGCCGAGTTAACCATTTCCTCTGCGAGATGCCAGCTCTGATCAAGATGGCTTGCGTGGACGCGCGCGCCGTGGAAATGCTGGCCTTCGCCTTTGCTGTGTTCATTGTCCTCCTGCCCCTCGCTCTCATTCTGGTCTCCTACGGGTACATCGCCACAGCCGTGCTGAGGATCAAGTCAGCTGCTGGGAGGTGGAAAGCCTTCAACACCTGCAGCTCCCACCTCACGGTGGTCTCCCTGTTCTATGGGAGCATCATCTACATGTACATGCAGCCAGGAAACAGCGCTTCCCAAGACCAAGGCAAGTTCCTCACTCTCTTCTACAACCTGGTAACTCCCATGTTGAACCCGCTCATCTATACTTTAAGGAATAAGGAGGTGAAGGGGGCCCTGAAGAAGGTGATAGCGAGACAATCATGAAGGGCAGAGGTGTAGGGGAGGCTATGGAGTCCTAGGGAGAATATGTGCTTCAGGTACACTTATTTCGTGCATACAACAAATTTATCCAATGTATCAAACACTTATGGGTGTTTTCACACGAATAATTACACTGAGTTGCATCCAAAGTCACTATGAATCAACCATGCCATTATACGTGATACGGATAAATCTTACCAAAGTAATATTCACTGAAAAGAAAAGTCCCAGAAGAAAAGTGCAATGACGGGGCTGGGGATTTAGCTCAGCGGCACAGCGCCTGCCTGGCAAGCGCAAGGTCTTGAGTTCAGTTCCCGCTACCGGAAACAAAAACAAAAACAAAAAAAAAGAGAAAAGTGCAATGACTCTGATATAAATATAAAAAAAGCGAATTAATGATATAATAATCCATTCCTAAAAAAGTATAAAATGTACAAATTTAAAGAGATGTTCAAATAAATATGCAAATAGATGTAAAACTTACTTTCACTGTAGGAGAGAGAAATCAGTTCAGTATCTGAGAGAACAGAATTTGCATGACACTGACAGGAATTATTTTACACTGCTATCAATTATCAGTAATTTACAAAGTTATAACACATCTCCACAGAATCAGAATCAGATAACCTGAAGGGATGCCCTCAAGAGTCGACGCAATACATAAAGTCTTCCTTACAAGCTAAACCATATGTTCTACTTATAGTGTAACACTAAATACAGTCTGAAGCCTTTTAATGAAAGGATGTCAGTATTTTCATTTGATTTATAAAGTGGTAAAACTACAGCTTACAGAGACTGTGTAATTAACTCAGGTCAGCAAAGTAAGTAACTATGGTTGTGAAGTGCTATTCATGATGTCTCACTCTTGGATAATACTGTCTTTGCTGTGTGGTGTTTCATGCATTCATAAACATACTGGACATGCTACAGCCTTATGAAAGAGTTCTTAGAATTTTAAAGTTTATTTATTTTATTTGTGCCACCAATACCACACTATCCCTCACTCCTACATTGTCCTATGCAAATCTCCTGTTAAATCTTCCCTATGCTTCAGTGGCCAAATAAGACACTTATAAAACTGCCTGGGACTCTTTGACATAAAAATATTTTGTCACTCCTTTTAGTCTCTGTAAATTTCATACCCTAAAATGATAGTTTTTCTAGTTACCATTACATGTATATATTTTAGTGCCTTCTATTGGATCTTAAGTTCCCTTATGATAGGATCACTTATTTTTTAATTCATCTAGAATCACCCCAAGTATTAACTTGCTAATAAAGTGCCTTGAAGGTAGTAAGTGACCAATAACAACTTGCAGTGATTATTAATGTTAATGGATTAGTTATATCCAGACATTATCCTTTCATTTTAATGTCACTATTTGTCTTTGTTCCTCAAAATTACAAGCAAATCTGTCACAATATACTGCCTCAGTTTATATAAATGCATGGCATTTATTCACCATTGAAGGTTGTTATGATTATAAATCATATACATTTGAAGGAAGGACCCTGAATTACATGCAAAAAGTTACCTTAGCCCTAATTCTTTTTAAGGTGACCAAAGTAACTGCATCCAGGGGGTGATTACCACCTATTTGTATACAGATGCACATTCCTGGACACTCTGGAATAGATCCCTCTTACAGAGGTGAGCAAACAGAGGGATTTCCTCTTTATTAGATTTCCTGACTGAGAGATATAATCGGCACTTTGAGCCCAAGACACACTTTCAAATCTCTGTAAATAATTAGGCCAGATGGTGTTAACTCTACTGCAGCTCAAACATCTCATGATTCAGCTATCTGACCCTTAAACACCAGCTCAGTTCATTTGTATGCTACGAGCTCCTTCTCATGGGTTATATTTTTCTTGTAATGCATTCAACAAAAAATGTGAAAAACCTCTCTGCTGTAAACTGAGAATATATATGAGAAAAATTAAAAGAAAATCTAGGGCTGGTGATTTAGCTCAGCGGTGCAGTGCCTGCCTGGCAAGCGTGAGGTTGTGAGTTCGATTTCTGCTACTGGAAAAAAATATATATATATATATTATATATATACATATATAGAAAATCTACTTAAACATGAACTAAAACATGCATATTCACTAGAAGGCTTGATATTTTTAGATGTGAATTTTTTCCAGATTGATGTATTAATACTCTCTCAATCAAAATCCCAGAAAGATGCTTTTTCATTCAGATCTTGACTAGGTTATCCTAACACTTATTTGAAAATGCAGCAGATTAGAGGAGCCAAAATAATCTTGAAGAAGAAAAAATACTCAATAAAAAGACAAATAAGGGGACAGAATAAAGAATACAGCAATAGATCCACACAAAACTATTCACTTGATTTTTGAAGAAAGCCGCTGAAGCAATTCAATGGAGAAAAGAAAGTTCTTTTCAATAAATGAAGCTGGTAACTAAATACCCGTGTAAGGGGGAAAGATACTCAACCCTCATTCACACTTACACAAAAATTACACCGAGATGAGCTATAGAAATAAATGTGAAAGTTAAACCCATGAAGTTTTGTTCTTGTTATCACTAATAAACAAATCACTCCATGTTTTAGAGGTATTAAAATAATCATTTACAATGTTAATATTGGGAGGGGCAGGGGATTTAGTTCAGCAGCACAGTTCCTGCCTGGCGAGTGCAAGGTCGTGAGTTCGATTCCTGATACCGGAAAAACAAACAAAAAAAAAAATGTTAATATTGGGATTAGGAACTTGAGTGTGGCACAGTAGGGATTCCCCATTTTTGCTCCATGACATCTGGAGGCTCAGCTAGGATGAAAGTGTCTGTGAGAGTTCTGCAGTGTTATGAGAAACTGCATTTCTTCTCCATAGAGCATCTTTAGGAAATAAAACACTCACAGCTGATGCTTGATCTACAGTGGTTAGAACAGTTGACTGTGCACTGGGACCACCTTTCCCCATCAAGGTGGTCTCAGGGCAGGTAACTTCGAACATGATCCGGATTCCTCTAGCATGAGTGTTCCACATAACTATGGTGGAATCTTTAATGGCTTCTTACGATTAAGCTTCCAAATTTCCAGAATGTCAAATCATTGCATTCTGATGGCCAGCCAAACTCAGGAGACAAGAAAGAATATATTCTTTCTATTATTGGGGGAATAGTATTATGTGTGCAAAGAGTGAAGAATTGGTGAACATCTTGGAGATAATTTACCTTAAACTTGGAAAAGAGATTATAAAAAACTGTCTTTGGGGCTGGAGATGTTGCTTTGTGGTAAAGTGCTTGCTCAGCATGCAGAAGGCTCTGAGTTTCATCCCCTGAACAGTTTAAAAAGCAAAAAATCAAAAAGTCTTCATAGCTTAGATAAACAAAGATGTCTCAAACAGGACACAAAAGATACTAACAATATATGACAGAAAATAATAAATTTGGATTTGCCAGAACTTAAACATGTGAGTCTGATTTATTTCACTTACGAGTATGGTCTCTAGTTGCATCTATTCACCTATAAAAGCCTTGAGTTTATCCTTCTTTATAGCTGAGTAGTACTCTGTTGTATAAAAATACCACATCTTTTTCATCCATTCCTCAGTTGATGGGCATTTGGGTTGTTTCCAAAATTTAGCTATTACAAATTGTATTGCTGTTAATATGGGTGCACATATACTGTTGTGGCATTATATTTTTAATTCTTCTGGGAAAATACCCAGAAGGGGAATAGCTGGGTTGAAAGGGACTTCTAATCCTCATTTTTTGAGGAATCTTCACGCTGATTCCCACAGTGGTTGTACCAGTCTCCACTCCCACAAACAGTGGAGAAGGGCTCCTTTTCCCCAACAGCCCTTCCAATATTTCTTGTTTTGTTTTGTTTTGTTTTGTTTTGTTTTGTTTTTCTCCGGTACCGGGAATCGAACTCACAGCCTTGCGCTTGCCAGGCAGGCACTATGCCGCTGAGCTAAATCCCCAGCCCCCGCTCCAATATTTCTTATTGGTTGATTTCTTGAAGATAAGCATTCTTTCTGGAGTGAGACGAAATCTCAGTGTTGTTTTACACCATACTCATAAGTTAAATAAATCAGACTCACATGTGTAAACATTGTATTATCTCCTTAGTATAAGAAACTAGAAGAGTAAATAAGATCCAAAATGTACAATACATACTGTGAAAGGGAAAGAAACTACCCAAAAGGAAAGAACAGCTGGGATAGGGGAAAGGAGAAAAGAAGGAAGAGAAAAGAAAAAAAATATATGTATAATATACATATATGTATATATACACAAGATACCTAAGATAGTTATTCTACTAATTTCTATTAGTTCATTGAAAGAAACAGTTTGTGATAATATTGTTTTATCAGTTTTGCATGCCTATATCTTGTAATCTGAGCAACTACTTTGAAGATAACAATATGCAATATAATAACCATTGTTAACTTCCTGTTATCTTGTTTTGAAATTCTGTATCACTATTTTTATTGGTTTTTCTTCTCTTTAAAATAAAAAACTTAAAACATTCATCAAAAGACATTGTTGATTCTAGCAAAGTCCTGCAGCAGTACAGAAGTCATATAGTGAGATACAGGCATGCCCAGGGGACTTTGCCAAACTGGCTGTTACTGCAGAGCCACATTTAAGGTAATCATGAGCCCGTTAGTCAAGTGCAAGGCTTAATCCATTCATTAAGCCAGAATCATAATCACAATTTAAAGCTTTAACCTGGTCTCACTTCTTAATATTCCACAGTAGTACTTTCCTATAAAGTTAAAGTTCCCATATGCTGTGTCAGTTATTTATTGTCACATTAACTAAGCATCTCAAGGTTTAGTGACATAAAACATAATCTTTTAATTGCTTATGAGTTTCTGAGCCAGCACTTTGTATTCAGTTCAACCAGATGGCTCTTGTACCGATTTTGCCCAGGGTCATTGTGCCTTATATACTTGGCTGGGACTAGATAGTCTGGACCAACTTTACTCACTTGTTTGATGATCACTCTTGTTTGTGCTACATATCTTCA